GTGTCTGGTAGCTACTTAATGATCATTTGAATGTCTTCTTCAATAGAATTACTATTCAAATCATTTGGCCATTTAAAGATTGGGATTATTTGTCTTTTTGTTGTTAAATTATAGACATTGCATATATTTTGGAAGGATTACTATATTCTTGTCATATACATGGTTTCCAAAAATATTCTGTTTGGTAGCTTACATTTTCAATTTTGTGGTAAAGTCTTTTGATAAGCAAAATGTTTTACTTTCATGTGGTCCTATTTTTTTTCTCTTCATGTTTGTGCTTATGTTATTAGATAATCCATTGTTAAAAGCTAAGCTGGTGGATTTGAACTACCGAATCTGTGGTTACTAGTCCAGTGTTCTCCATAGCACCACACTATATAGTATGTTTCAAAAACAGAAAGTGTGAGTGTTCATGCTTTGTTCTTCTCTTTCAACATTGCTTTAACTATTTGGGCCTCTAAAGTTTAGTGGCTCAAACCCATCAGCTACTTCTTGGAAACCCTGAGACTATAAATCTTTGCTGGAGTAGAAAGCCTCATCTTTCTCCCACAGAGTAGCTGGTGGGCTTGAAATGCTAACCTTGTGGTTCAAAGTCCAGTGCATATACTACAGAGTCACTGTGCTCCCAAGTCTGTCTAGTGTTCATATATTTCACTTCACAGAACTATCTTGTCCTTTTCTCCCATCTTTCTTTTCTTTTTTTTTTTTTTTTGTCTTCTATTATTTACTCCTTTGTTTCTTCTGTACTATGATCAGGGTCTGGCAACATCCTCTGATCAAAACATCTGTGGTGACTATCTAAAATACTTCCATTCTGCCCTCTAATACACTATACTTTGACATAAGGTGATATTTTTAAGTAGTGTTCCACAAATATTCACCTCCCACCCTGCACCATTGTGAGTTATTTTCCCACTTTTCTCTTTGGACCTTGACCTTGTTACTCCCTTTAGCATGAAATATTAGCAGATGTGACATACATTTCATTGTTGTTGCTCAGTGCCGCCGAGTCAATGCCAGCTATGTCATCCCTGTGTGTGCAGATTAGAACTGGGCTCTATAGCGTTTTTGAAGCTCTGACATTTTCAAAGCTATGACATTTTGGAAGCGTACTACCTGGCCTGTCTTCCTAGTTGTCTCTGTGTGGGTTCAAACTGCCAGCCTTTGAACTAACAGTGGTAATTTGTCCTACTAGTCAGTGTGTCATACTATGACAATGTAAGTGTTGTTAGATGCTGGAAGTTAGGCCACCAGTATTCAAAGGCCAGCCGAATCACCTATGGTAGAAAGATATCAGAGGAACTTCCCAACTAAGATGGAACAGGACGAAAGACTGATCATCTATTTCAAAATAATGATCAGTGAAAACCTGTAAATCACAATAGAACACTGTCAAACTCATTTTCTTTGGACATGTCATCAAGAAGCTCAATTGCTAGATGAGGAAATAAATTTGTTGAGTAGAAAGCCAATGAGGGCTTGCAAGACCCTTCAAGAGCCACCATGATAAACTCAAATATGTTGGAAAGTTTAAGGATGACAATGGACAGGGCTATGTTTTATTCCGTTGAACAAAAAGTCACCTTGAGTCAGAGTCAATTTGATAGAAATTAAGGTTAATATATACCAGGCATTATTTATACACATTGTTTTGAATCAACCATTTTATAGGTAAGGTAGTTGACACTGCAAGCTTAAATAAGTTTTTCAATGTCATGAAGCCAACAAGTTGCAGGAATGAAATTCAAACCTAGATCTGTCTGAACTCAGAACCATGTACCCTCTGCTATCTTATATCATACTTATACATTGCATGTTTGCTGTCAATTATTGCATCATAATAATTAATGTAGTCCCTGGAATTAATGTTACATCCATTTATAACATTATGCTATAATGTATTCATTTATAGCTGTTGATAGTTGCTATTTGGTCGTAGCAAATTTTTAGACTTTTCAGATAAAAAATATTTTAATTGAACACAAATGTTTTTAAATTTAGAATTAAATTTAAGTATTATGTAAGTTGTGAGTATAGGTTTGGAAGACAGTTTTATTTGCAGTATCACAAAGATAGAGTGTTTTAAAAATAAAGTAACTTTATCATCTTGGGTCTTTGTTACAATGTCCCATGACTGACAATTTATTGGTACAAAAACAGGCACACACATACAAACATGTTTGAAAAATACCAAATGATCACTATTTTACTGTTATAAAGAAAAAATGTTTTTGAAAAATAACATCTGAAAATGCTCCTCACAATAACACAGTGAAATTATAGTTGAAAGATACCAATTTGAAGCAATTTACTCTTTGATTCTTAGTATTTTTCACTATCCAAACAAAAACTTCTCCGTGTGTGTATATATGTGTGTGTGTTTTATAAGTATCACAACTTTCCTAATAAAGAGTAACTGTAGAAAAGCAAGAGCTTGTTATTTCAAATAGCAGGATTCTGGTTTTCTTAATAGGCCCCAAAGTACTTATGTACTAAAATATCAAATGTGTAATCACTCCAGGAAAACAATCAGAAGACTTAAAACAAATACCAAAACCAAATAGAACCAGTTGCCAAGGAGTCCATCCCAATTCATAGTAACCCCATGTTTGTAATAGTACGGTTGTGTTCCATAAGGTTTTCAATGACTGATTTTTTTTTTTCAATGAATGGAAGTAAATCATCAGGTTTTTCTTACATTGAGTAGACTCAAACTTCCAGTTTTGGGATTAAGAGTCAATTACTTAAAATTTTTCTGCCACCCAGTGATGCTTTATGTTGTTGTTGGTAAGTGCTGTCAAGTCAGTCCCGACACAGAGCAACCCAGTTCAAACCATCCTTGAGATCGAGTGCATATCCTATGGATCCACTCCAAGGATGCTTGCTTTCACCTTAATCATTATGTAACACATTTTAGAATTGTCGACCCATCCTGTGTTACCACTGCTAGATGGACTCCTTGTTTGTCAATCTAAATAAAAAACTTCATGGAATAATCTTACACTATTAAAGTTGTCTTTAAGGCCCTTGAGGAAACACCATGTTACGCAAGAAACGAAAATGATGTAGATATGAACATTATTCACTTTAGTCTGAACTTTAGGTCACGGTAAGTCATATTGTGCCTAAGCACCAATATATTACTGAGTATGATTTGCTGAATACTCTTATTCAGTCCATTGAATATTGGTCAGATTTTCCTTTTCAAGGATTATTAAGGTAGTAAAAACCCTGAACTTTATTATTACTGAATTAGTAAGTGGCTGAACTGTAAAGTGAATATCTAAGCTCTTAACTGCTTAGCAGTTTAGAAGAGTGTGCAGAATCTTGCAAAACTTAGCCCTTGTCTACCTTTTCAAGTTGGTCTTCCATTGGCACCATCCCCACCTCCAAAATGTACTTCAATTTTTCCCCAGCATGCAGTGTTTTCCTGACTTCACCTGTTTGCTGGTAGGGTTTTCTTTATTTTTGCAATGTCTTTTCTTTTTTTTTAAATCTTGGTCCAAGTGTTAGCTTCCAGAAAGCCTGCTCTGACCTCCTTGTTGTTGTTGTCATTAAGTGCCACCAAGTTGGTTCCAACTTATAGCGACCCTATGCACAACAGTGCGAAACCCTGCCTGGCCATCATCACAATTGTTTGAGCCCATTGTTACTATGTCAATCTATTTCTTTGGAAGTCTTCCTCTTTTTCATTGACTCTCCACATACCCAAGCATGATGATATCTTTTCCCAGGGACTGGTCCCTCCTGCCATTATGTCCAAAATACAAGAGACGAAGTCTCGCCATCTTCATTTCCAGTGCGTATTCTGGCTTCTTCCAAGACAAATTTGTTTGTTTTTCTGGAAGTCCTGGTACTTTCAATATTTTTTGCCAACACCATAATTAAAATGCATCGATTCTTCTACAACCTTTCTTATTCACTGCCCTACTTTCACATGCATATTAGGCATTAGTCCTCAAACTGAGAACTTAGCTCTTTAACACTTTCTAGAGGTCTTTTGCAGCAGATTTACCAAATGAAATGTGTATTTCTATTTCATGACTTCTGCTGTGGGTTAATGCATTGGACTATAAGGTTGGTTTGAACGAAAAGGCTGGCGGTTCAAGCTCACCAGCATCTCCTCATTGACCATATACAGGGTCACTGTGAGTAGGAACCAACTCGATAGCACTTAACAACAACAAACTGCCACTAGCCTTCATTGTAGATCAAGCAAAATGAAGTCTGACAATTTCAATTTTTTCTCCATTTATCATTATGTTATTTTTTTTTTGGCCCAGTTGTGAGGATTTTTTTTTCTCTCTCTCTCTTTTTTTATTTTATTTTATTTTATTTTAACATTGAACTGTAATTCATATTGATTACATCTTTGTCTTTGATTTTCATCAATACACATTTCAAATCCTCTTCACTTTCAGCAAGGAAGGTTGTGTCATCTGCATATCGCAGATTGTTAATGAGTCTTCCTCCAATCTTTTGTTTTTTGTTTTTTTCAGTGTTTGAAAGAAAATGATTTCGCTTTATTTAACACCCTCACCTTCAACTTTATAGATAACGGATGCAGAACCCTGGATGAATCTCTGTTTGGAAGCAGAATTTCCTGCTAAAGAAGCTGAGTTTTAGAATGGCCATTTAACTGCTGAAAAAGAAGTTTATTGCTGTTTTCTTAGTCTATTATGCAAAGCTAGAGTTTCTAAAAATGTCTCTGTAGAGTCTCTTGACAAGAAACCAGGTTAGCAGAGGCTACAGCTGGTTTGTTAGCCTCAGTAGTGGCTTTGAGGAAGCCATAGCTACAAAAATGACTAAACCAGGCTCCCTTAGAACAGAGCACTGTCTCACTGAGGTCTCCAGTCTCTGGTATCAGCTCCGTCCTGAGATGTCACCACTACTTCCAGGTAGACACACATGGAGATTGGATAGCCTGCTGATGGGGTGGATCTCACTCTCCAGGTCTTGACTGTGCTCCAGGAAGGCAGGCACTGGCCTTAGCTTCTTGGTTACTCTGGGATGTTTGCTGCTACCTGTCCTGGCATTTCTGGGGTAGGTCCTAAGGCAGGCTGAGTCTGTGCAGGCTTCTCTATGTGCACCATTGCCTGGGTGTGAGGAGAGCTGGAGGAGATGCTGGGGCTCAAAGTACTGGGCGTGAGGATCCAGGGGTCCTTATCCAGACTGTGGCCCGCAGTGGCCAGCTTTCTGGTGCTCTCATCATGGTCTGTGGTGAAGCAGTGGTTGTCATGTGCTTGCATAGCAGCTTCATTCACGTAAGGCTGGATCCTGGGGTGGCTATTGTTGTTGTTAAGGCCCTTAAGGTCAAGACAGGTAGCCTGTACTGTTTCCAGGTCCTCGTCTCTGAGCTGGTACCACAGCTGGGTTGTCCTGTGTGAACACCCGCTGCTCTGTCCGCTTCACTTACTTCATTAGGTAGCAGGAAGGCCATGGATACCAGCAGGATGATGGCACAGCTGATAATGGGGCAATCACAGTCCCTGAAGGCAAAAGTCAGGTATGGGGGCACAGGTTTGTACATAGGTATCCCTGACGACCACTCAGCAATGTTCCCCTTCCAGATACAGGTCCTCCAATCTTGATGCCACATTCTTCTTCATATAATCCAGTTTCTCAGATTACTTGCTCAGCATACACATTGAATAAGTATAATGAAAGATACGATCCTGGTACACACTTTCCTGATTTTAAACTACTCAGTATTCTCTTCTTCTATTTGAATAACTGCCTTTTGGTCTACGTACAAGTTCCTCATGAGCACAATTCAATGTTCTGGAATATCCATTTTTTCTTCATAATTCTATCCATGGTCAAATGCTTTTGTATAGTCAATAAAATGTAACTAAACTTCTTTCTAATATTCTCTGTTTTCTGACCTCCTTACTCTGCAGAAATTGAGTACCATCAACTTGTGTCTTTTGCATGTTCCTTCTTAATGCTGGCAGGTGATAGCATACTGTTTGAAGGGTCAAAGATTCGAACCTACCAGCTACTCCACTGGAGACAGATGGGGCCCTCTGCTTCTGTAAAGATTTGCAGCCTTAGAAACCCTATAGGCAGTTCTACTTTGTTCTATTTGAGTTGATACGAGTTGGAGTCAACTTGGCAGCAAACAATAGCAGCATTAGAATGCACCTTGAATAATGCCTGGAGTGACATTGTAGGACAAGCAATGAATTGCTAACTGCAAGATCAGCAGTTCAAATCCAGCAGCTGCTCCTTGGAAACCCTTGTACAGGGTCACTATAAGTTGGAACCAATTCGACTGCACTTAACAACAACAACAAAGGATAATGCCTGGCCCATGGGAGAAATTATAGAAATAAAAATTAATTGATTGACTAATTAACTTACTAATAATTATAGAATTTTTCCCACTTGCTATTTGTTTTGTTTTGCTTCATTAGATAGCATGTTCTTTAAAGACAAGGACTGTTTCGAATTTGTCATCAGTACCTGCCATGGTACTTAGCACAAAGAAAATGCTTCATAAATATCTGCCAAACTGAGTATAAATTGCCTAGATATTCCAAGAACTAAAGGCTCTTAATTTATGAAATTCTCACAGAAACACTCAAGAAGGAATAAAGTTGAACCAAGATAAATCTACAAATCATTTGTGAAGCAAAACATTTGGTTCAGCAAGGGAATTTAACAGTTCAAAGTGTTTTGAGTTGAAATGTTTGCTTTACTAACAGGCATTTCTAAAATGTGTTTTTGCTGTTCAGGCTGAAAAAAATTGTTTAAAGGCATTAGGACATAGAATGTTAAAAACATATCTAGCTTTTACTTAAACTAGGAACATTGTTGCCAGTAGAAATGTTTGCAGGCAAGGCTTAGGCTTCACTTGGTTTCAAAATGTTTCCTTGGGGGGAAATATATTTAGAGACATTTTAAATTGAAGGAATTTTGGCTGCCAGTTTAGGTACTATCATTTCGTCCACACAGATGTAGTGCATTGTTAGGGGGAAAAAATGCTGATTCCAAATGATAACATAACAAAAATTTGACTTTACAAAAAGATGAAATTAAAAAATAAAAGAAATCTTTCATTCTCTATCCCCTGATCTTAAACATCAATCCTAAAACACTGCAGAAGGCAATAGGAGTATATTTAAATTATATTTTCTAATGCTATTTGATAAAGCAGCTCGTAGAATGATCTACATGGAATCACCATGAGTCAGAATTGACTAGATGGCAAATAGCTGCAGCAAATGCTACAACAATTTATATGTGTATATCAGTATACACATATAAATTAAAGGCCTAGAAAAGTACACAAAGATGCATATAAACCAATAACCAGGGTTTCCTATGGTGGTGTTGGTGTTGGTGGTGTGAGGAAGAAATGGAAGAGATTTGTGAGCTTCAATATTATCTTTATCCTTTAATTTTTATAAAGAGAATCTATCCTTACATTATTTATATAATTGGAAATTACAATTTAAAATGTTAAAACGTCTCTCAATGACAAGATTTTAATATAAGTTGAAATTGCAGTAACAACCTTTCAACCCTAAAATTAAATAATCCTATTTTTATACTTCTGCAGGGAATTTAGAGAATCCATACACCTATAATGTTAATAAAATAAAATTTTTAAAAATTTTTAACTTTTAAAATAAAGGTGTCAAAATGATTTCCCCAAAATAAACAAAATATATTTCTACTCCTTGGTATTTTGTTCTAAAATTATTTTTATTGTAAGTTGTTTCTAAATGAATATCTGATATATAGAAAATCGAATGAAAACCTTCCATTGTATTTTTTAAACATTGAATTAAGTAAGTTAAGAAAATACTTAAATAATTCAATTTGCCTTCTTCTTGTTTGCAGAAAAGCTTACTTCTCTCCATTTCTCCAGGAATCTAAGAGTTCTGGTGTGGACCTAGGGAATAAGCACTAGACTGCTAAAAGCAAGGTTGGTGATTCAAGGCCACAGTTACTGCTTGGAAATTCAGTCGCTATGAGTTGGACCAACTTGACAGCATAACAACAACCACAAAGAGAACGTACACTACCTATCTGTTTGTGACCTGAATGTTGCTAGGATACTAGAAGCTATGTCCCCAGTATTTCAAATTCCAGCAGGGTCACCCATGGTGAACAGGCCAATGACACTTCCAGACTAAAACAAACTAGAAAGAAAGACCCAACAACCTACTTCTAAAGGTTTTCCAAAGACCACCCCAAGAATCACAAGACAGCATTGCCAGTATTGTCCTGGATGAACTTCCTAGGTTAGAACACACTCAGACAGTCAGCCAATGATCATGACTAATACAGAATTTTGTACATAGGTTGCCAGGAGTGTGTGCAGACTCAACAGTAACTAACAAACACTATTAAGCAAACCCTACCCAAAAGTCTAAAACAAGAGTCATTGCCCTACTGACACTATCCAAAAGTGAAGCTTTAGGTTAATTAAACCACCACCATGGAGTCCTGGTGTGGGTTAAAGTGCTAGACTGCAAAGTCAGTTTGAACTGCAAGGTCGGTGGTTCAAGCTCACCAGTCGCTCCTTGGAAACCCTCTAGAGGGTCGCTATGGGTCAGAACCGACTTGACGGCACTTAACAACATGGAGCCCTGGTAGCATAGTGGTTACGAATCGGGGTGTGAACCGCAAGGTCAGCAGTTCGAACCTACCAGCTATTCCGCGAGAAAAAGATGAGGCTTTCTGCTCCCATAAAGATTTACAGCCTCAGAAACCCTGTACAGGATCGCTATGAGTCGGAACCGATTCCACGGAACATAACAACAACAACATGGAACCCTGCTGACTTAGTGGGCAAAACAACAGGCTGCTAACCAAACAGTTGGTGATTCAAACCCATCAGCTGCCCCTCAGGAGAAACATAAGGCTGTCTGCTCTTGTAAAGATTTATAGTATCAGAAAGTCTATGGAGCAGTTCTACTCTTCCCATAGGGTCACTGTGAGTCAGAATTGACAGCAGTAGTAGGAAGCAGGTCATTGCTGAATTCTAATTATTAAAATGCCACAGAACCATTGACAAAATTCATTAAATTTCTTTAAAAGTTCAAAAATGAAACACGACTTCAAAAAGAATACTCAAAAAAGAAAAGAAAAGAAAGAATACTCCATTTGGGCTTCTCTTCTGGAAAATCCAGTCAGGGTCATTCTGAGAGCATGTACCAATCATAACCAGGCAGCTCCTGTCTGTCAAATCACCAATGCTAATTTTAGAGACCCAGATTTCCGACAGTGAGCATTTAAAGTCCCCATAACATTTGGAAGCCTTCTGTAACATCTTATTTTGCTTGAAAGAAAGGGTACAAAGAGGAAAAGGTACATTAACCAAGAAAATAATGTGCTATGAAGAATACAAATTGTTATTTAACCAGGGGGTGGAAATCTCCAAGGAAGCTCCTTAAAGAAAATGTTTACATTCATTTTTTTTTTCCGTATATAAAAGGATTCATCTAACAATGCATCACAAACAAAACCCAAAACACTGTTGATGATCTCTGCTGGAGTTAAAGGATAGAAAGCAGAGCAATTTATTGCCAACTGGTTGTAAGGAGTTATAGTCCCAGATCTAGAGAGAAAGGAAAGGGAAGAGATTTTAGGGTGTAGATGGTAATAGGAAACTCACATTTCCCAACCACCAAATATGAACAAGCCTTATGCTTGGCACTTCACTTACAATTTCTTCTTTAATCTTAAAACTAACTTTATGATAAATAAAACAGATTTGTTATTAAGACGAGGGAGGTGCTGTGAGCTTGATAAATGTCTAAAAGGTGATGCTAGGAATTTGTCTAGGTTTTCCTGACTTCAAAGTCAGTGAAAGACACAAAAAAATTCATCAGAATATTTTTGCATCTTTATTTCAAACAACCCCAAACCACACAAACCCCATGCATATGTACTTAGATAATAATTTACAAAGTATAAATATGCCAGCTGGGTGGTGTAACAGAAGGATCCTTAGCTAACAACTGAAAGGTTGGTAGTTCAAACCTATACATTGGCACCCACAGAAAAACAGTCCTGCCTATCTGCTTACATAAAGATTACAGCTAAGAAAAACCACATGAAAATCAGTTGCACTCCATAACACCTAGGATCCTTTAGTTTTATGATGTAACTTAAAGTCAATTTAAGGTCATTAGAATAAGGGCGTTTTGGAGGAATGGACTATGGCCCTTGATCACCCTTCAGGTCTGGAATGGAACTTACCCTTGTGGCCCAATTTCCAGTCAAGCTGTGGATAGGTTAATAGGGAGGAACAGCAGTACTAGTGAGGAATGTTCACCATGGAATGGACAATTACTGAAAATCAAAAGGACACCATTTTCCTAGAGACAAAGTTGAGAAGGGACAGGAAGGTGGGTGGAATGGAAATGAAAACCACAGGGAGGAAGCAGGATGACTGTTGTTGTATGGAAGGGATTGTAATCATTGAGATGAAACAAATGTATCATTTATTGAATGTAAAGATGATGATCTTGTTTGTAAACCTTCATTCAATTCACAATAAAACGTTTAAAAGGGGTGGGGGAGCTTTTGTAGTTCTTTGTGACTCTAAAGCCATCTGATGGCATTGCAACTCCCTGAAAAAGT